TCCTCCGTCACGCTATTGTGGTTGCGTGACAGCTCCAGTCAAGTTCAGCGGGTTATGTGTCATGTTTGTTTTTTTCATTCGTTTTTTTGTTTGCTTGATTGCTTTTTAGTCTTTTCTAATGAACGTCGTTCAAGGCTGTCCCTCATCAAAATGCGTGAGTTGCAATAAACAACCAAATTGAACCCGGTAGGCATGAATAAACACAGATAAAATTTTATGCAATAAAAGACTATTCTCTCATTTCTTCATTTTTAGCGCGTGTGGGGCTGGGAGAATTCGCAAACCTTATTTAAGCCCGAAACACCTTCGAGGGTCTACGTAACCGTCACGAATTCTAGCAATGCCCCGCAAGCCTATTGCGTAACGAGTAACGAAACACGTTTATCGACCCGTGGTAGCGAGTGTAAGATCTCTGTTCTTCTACAAAGCGCATGTGTAAAATTTCCCTCAAAGCTATCGAAAATTGCTGGACAAAGGTTCTTTAACGAAGTCATAAGTTCTAGTAAATAAAATATTCCAATCATTTTTTTTTAACGAACCAGGAAATTTGAACAACTGGAGGTAGCTGGCTCTTTACCAAATTATTTTGGGGAAGGACCCGATTTTTTCATTTCGAATTCAAAAAAGGCACTAATTACGAGATTATTCTGAGGGACTGGAGCAGATGGCACTGGGAAGTGTCCTTTTCATCAAAATTCTTGTTATAAAGAAACTTTATCTAAATCAAATTAAGACACATTTTTAATTCTAAAAGTTTGCTTCAATGACTGAAAATACGTGTGATGGTCTATCACGTTCAGTGTTTATAAATGAGAACCTATTCATCGCTTCTAAAAAACTGAAACATACTATTGCTTTAAAGTCTTATAACGAGATCACATGGCGAAGTCCATCATACGGCGAAGTTGCATAACTTGAACAGGGTCAACATTATTCTGTCCTTCCATCCAGGACAAGCATTTTTTAAAACATTCTCCTGCCTCTGAATTGGAAACTTGTTTCTCCTCCTGACCATCATCTTCCTCATCGCTACTTTCATTTTCATTGGAATGTCCGGTTACGGTCGCTAAAATCTGTTCATCTGACATCTGTTCCGTAGTTGGGAGCTCATTGTCTAGATTGAGCCAGTCTTCCAGGTCGTGAGCATTTAGCGAATCTTCATTTCCAACTTGCTGGACAAGTTGAAGCATTTCAACCATTGACTTGGCAGAATGCTGTTCTTCAGGCTCTGAATTTGGCTGGCTGTTGTCAGAGTGGATTTTAAGTTTGTTGTAAGCCTTGCGGATGGATTCTGGGCTTGCTTCATCCTAAGCGTCGCAAACCATGTAAATTGCATCCTTCACTGTGTGAAGCTTTACAATGTCCTTAATGCTCTGTGTGTGATCGAGGTCTTGAGCGCAAACAACTTTCTGGAGAAGCTTTCCCTTGTATCGATTCTTCATCGCTTGCAAGACTCCTTGATCCATCGGCAAGAATGAGAGAGGTAGTTGTTGAAAACTGGACCGAGAGTGTCACGTGGATTTTTGTATTTTTCTTACCCCCCACGAATTGAACTTTGAACTCTTGATGAAAACTAAAAAAAAAAAAAAGAAAAATGAAAAGGAATGCGTGAAAGCTGTCTTGTATATTTTTATTCTGGAATACAGTCTTAAGTCGAAGTTGTCCTGTTGTATACGTTTTATACATTTGGTGCCGAGACCCGGGACTCGAAAACCGGGATTCTACCGCTCTGAAGAACGTCTTGAATGAAATTGTTGTGAATGCGAGCTGGAAGCACGTGGGTGACATGTCGCAGTCGGGGAAGAAGAAATTGAAGAATCTGAGGAAATTTCGCGACGGTCATCGAAAGTTTGTCGAGAAAACTATCGAAGATGCTAAAGGGTTAATCGCTGAAGGTAATCTCGTCGAAGTGAAAAGGCTTAAATTTCTTCAAACCGCTCTTGAAACGAAGTATTCGGAACTTCAATCGCTCGACCGCGAAATTGTGGATCTGGTGGATGACGTTGAAGTTATTGATACCGAAGTCTGTGAGAGCTGTGAGCTAATGAGCTCCATTCAGGAGTGTATTGTAGAGTTAGAATCTGTTTTGGAAGCTCAAGAAAGTAAGGGAAAGAGCCAGAAATCCCCTTCCGTGGTGCAACCTGTTTCTCCCGAAAACGCGAGAACTTCTCAAGGTCACGTTTCGAAAGCTTTCACTCATGCAAAGTTACCCAAGC